CTTCTCCTTCTCCTTCTCCTTCTCCTTCTCCTTCTCCTTCTCCTTCTTCTTCTTCTTCTTCTTCTTCTTCTTCTTCTTCTTCTCTGCCCTCCGTAGATGATCAGTCCAGTCTTTGGGGCAGTGAAGAAATACAAGCTGCTGCATCGCATGACCGGGGAAGGACTCTCGGTGGAATACTATTTCAGCCGGCAACCCTTTGCTCCTGACCCCCGCATGGTAGCTGTGCAGATCCAGATCTGCAACAACATGGCAACCGAAGTGAAGAACATCCGTGTGACGGAGCCCAAACTTCTCTCAGGCATGCGTCTCCAGGAATTCAAGGAGATTGGTACGGGGCACATGTGTATAACGCTCTGTCTGGAATGAGTGGTGAACGGTGTTGGGAAGGAGGCATCTTCAGGTGAGCCTCGGAATACTGTGATGGCCCAAAGGGGCGTGGCACAAAGGCAACACAGTCCGATAATCAGTAGGAGTCCCTTTATTAGCTCCAACTTTGCCCTCGATGTCCTGGTTACTGGCTGGGTTGGAGAAAAACTCTCCCAGGAATCAAGCCTTTGGCTCCAGAGAATCAAGTCCAGAATGTGGTCAAAAACTATAAGTCCAATCAAGGCAAAATGAGGTAATTAGTCCAACAGGGCAGGAGCAAGAATCCCAGGCATGAAGGCACTGCAGTAACTCCACATGGCTGGGAAGATGCCAGGAACAGATAATCAAAGTCAACACTATCTTGTTGACTCATGTTTGCTCCCAGCAGCTGCTGCAGTCAGCATGCATCTCTTTGAAACTCTCTTCCCAGCTGTGGCTAATGAAGGGAATCAGGGCCCTTTCCTCCCCCGTAAGCCACATAACCCACGTTGCTCCCTTCTCTGTTCCTCCCTGCATGCCCTAGGATGAAGAGGGGGGTGGGCCTGCATCTTCCTCTGAATTTCATACCTCTCCCCTGCTCTGCCCAGCTGGACTTTGCCCTTCCCCAGTTTCCTCCACAGCCACACTCCCTGTCAGCTGTTCATCTTCCTCCTCGGATTCAGACTCCGTCAGGGGCATGACAGATACTGATCACTGAAGAAGAGAATATTTGTAGCTTAGGTTGAACTGTGTGGGCTTTTGGTGCTGTCTGAGCTTGGTAGTTTTCTTGCAGACATTTCATGACCCAACTAGATAACAACATCAGTGCTAGAACGGAGGAGGGTTTGCAGAATGGAGGAAAAGGAGGACTATGGAATTTTTAGTGCTCTCTGAGCTTGGTTGTTTTCTTGCAGACATTTCATGACTCAACTAGGGAACATCATCAGTGCTAATAGAGAGTGGCATTGGCAGAGTGGAAGAGAAGGGAGGAAGATGAGGAGGAAGAGAAGGAGAACTGTGGATTCTTCGTGCTCTCTGAGCTTGGCTGTTTTCTTGCAGACATTTCAATACTTGAATTAGATGACATCCTTTGGTAATGGAAGAAAATAACCAAGCTCAGAGAGCACCACGGATCCCACAGTTCAATTTGAACTACAAATATTCTATTCTATAATGATCACTTGGCCAACCTAGTGAAAGGACCCTTCCATAACCTGTTGCTCTCTAGTGGATCGAAAGTACAATTTCCAGCATTTCTAGTTTGGGTGGAGTCATAATTCAGTCTACAATGGAAAACCCCACGCTGGAGAAAACAGCATTATAGTCAGTGTGTTTAAGGGCTCTTTGGTGCTCTTTGAGCTGACTTGTTTTCTTGCAGATGTTTCATTACCCAAACTAGGTAACATCATCAGTGCTAGTGATGTGTTTGATTTGGGGACAAGAAATGCAACTGTCCAGTGTATTTACAATCACTCCTGGCCATTTGACATGCTTCACCGCATGCTGTTTGAGAGCTAAGGAAATCTCTTTATTGCCTTGGTCTGCTAGAAGTGTAGACAATTGCTCTGCTAATATCCTTCTCTCTGGCTTCTTTCCCTCTGCTTGCAGAGTCTTTGGCTCCTGGGGAAACGGTCAGCGTGGTAATGGGCATAGACTTCTGTGACTCTACCCAGGTGGCCAGTTTCCAATTGTGGTGAGTCCCTGCATAGTTCATTTTGCTGCAGTTTGTGCTTTTCCCTACAACAACAGTCAGGGCAAATGGGTTTGAAGAACAGAAGGATGAGTCCTGCTGCAAGAGATCAAGAAATCAAGTTCTACTTTTGATGCCAACCAGATGGATTTAAGAAATTTGTAAGGGCTTTCCAGGGCTGCCCTCCAGCCATTTGTTATGCTTCTGGGAATAGCAACCAAGCTACTGCTATTGAAGGGCCAATCCGCCATGAGTTTGTCTAGATAAATGTAAAGGTTCCCCTTGCACCTATGTGCTAGTTGCTTCTGGCTCTAGAGGGCAGTGCTCATCTCTGTTACAAAGCCGAAGAGCCAGCACTGTCCGAAGACGTCTCCGTGGTCATGTGGCCGGCAGGACTAAACACTGAAGGCGCACGGAGCGCTCTTACCTTCCCACTAAAATGGTCCCTATTTTTCTACTTGCATTTTTACCTGCTTTCAAACTGCTAGGTTGGCAGAAGCTGGGACAAGGAACGGGAGCTCACTCTGTGACGTGGGGCAAAGGGATTCGAACCGCCGAACTGCCAGCCTTTCTGATCAACAAGCTCAGCATCTTAGCCACTGAGCCACCACGTCCGTTAGAGTTTGTCCCTTAAAGTTTGCCTAGCCCTGTGTTAAAAATGGATGGCCATCTCCACCTATGATGGGAACGAATCCCATAATTGCCATCTAAACTAGGTCTCAGCAATCATTGGGAGGAACCATTGGACACATGTTGTGAGGCTGTTACAGGCGCTCTCAGAATGATTGCTCTCAGAAGCCTACTCCATCCCAAAGAGCTTAGTCGATCGATTATACAGGCAGTAGTCCTTGACTTACGGCCACCAGTGAGCCTAAAATTTGTGTTGCTAAGGGAGGCATTTAAGTGAGTTTTGCCCCATTTTACAACTTTTGAAGAGTTGCGAAGAGTTGATAAGTTAAGTAACCTGGTTGTTAAGTTGAATCTGGCTTCCCCGTTGACTTCTCTTGTTAGAAGATCCCAAAGGGTGATCACATGACTCGGGGACTCGTTCAAGAACTACCTGCATTGAGTTGATGTTGAGTCTTTGTGACCGTGTAGATAAATTTTCCCCAGGACAGCTTGTTCCAACTCTGATGTTTCAAATTTTCCAGGGGTGCCACCAAATTCTGCTGTAACTGATGATCTGCTGCTGCTCTGGCTGGAAGTCACCCACCTTTGATTTTTGTAAAAAAAAATATTTATGACCGGGGTCTCCAACCTTGGCAACTTGAAGCCTGGCAGACTTCAAGTTGCGAGGGTTAAAGACTGTTCTGACCAAGGCTTCCCGAAACCGTAATTAAGCACACACTTAGTTAAAACCACTCTTGGTTTATTTCAGCTTTGGGAATTATATTCATTCCCAGCCTGTAATGAGTCTCAAATAGTCCCTCGAGATAAGCACCCACCTGTCTCTCCTTTGAGCTGCTGCCAACAACTAAAGTGCCACATTAACAGTAACAAGCCAAATAAAGTACAAAGTCCACATAGAGCTTCAAGGTTTAATCCGAACAGAGTGAACGACTTTGCTTCCTGCAAAGGTTTCTCTACCTTTGCACCTCCTTTATACCTTATGGGAGGGGCAATCACCTCCCAGCCTTACTTCTGAATCGCCCCTTTTGTCTCAGCTGCTCTCGCCTTCTAGCAGCTCTGCATACGCTCACTGGGAACAGGCTCCCCTCAATCCTCTTCCTCGCTTCTGCCAGACTCCGGTGGCTCCGGAGTCAGCACCCCACTCCCAGATGGTCCTGGTCCCATCCCTGCATCGGATGCAGGACCCTCATCCGAGTCCTCTCCAGACTCCTGGACTGGTCCCCGTTCTTCCCCACTGTCCGATTCTGCTGCTGTCTGCACAGGCTGCCAGCGAACCACAACAGAGACCCCCGATTTTGCAAATAATGTCACACCTGAGGTGGATGTTTTGCTTCGAGCATGGAAACCTCCCACATTTTCCTTGATTAAGAGTCTACAAAATATTGGTTTAAAGCGGCCATTTACACAAATTGCAAAATTCACTGAACCAGTAGTTGCACCGGTCGGATCCCACCCCTAGAGCGAACTCACGTCACAAATGTCTCGCTCAACAATAGAAATGTTGGACTCCATTGTAGTCAGAAGCCGAAGGATTACCCTCCCCCAAGCTTTCTCGGCCAGCGCTGAGACATTTGTCTTGTCAGCTCAGGGTTCAAAGGTTTGCCCTCTTTGCATGCTGAGTCACAAGCTGAATCATAAACACCCCAGGGAGTTTTGGAAATCAAAGCATCAATAAAACAGCATTCATGACTAAGCTCTCTCCCGTTAAGCTTTCTCTTTAAATATTGCTTTCTATAAAATGGGCGCTTGAGAAAGTGATAGAAGAAGGAAAAGTTTAAAAATCTCAGCTGGCAAGGGATGGCCTGGGGAAATTAGATCCAGCTTGAAGATTTGTTTATACGGTGACCAAATCTTACGATTGTCTAGAACCAGGTGTGAGTTTTAAGTGCAGTTGAAAAACTAAAACAAAATACGGATTGAAGGTGTGCAATGGCAGGTATAATTTTGAGTCTAAGCTGGTGTTTCTCTATTCCACAATGTAGATGTCAACTCCCTGAATTTTCAACCCAGGAGACAACGCTGGCTGGAGAATTCTGGCTGTTAGTTCATCCATCTGCTTGTCTTCCAATTTGGAAACTTAAAACAAAATACAGGATCTTGGAAAGGAATATACGGAGAATTTCCCCTTTCCAAAATGCCAACAGTACGAAAGAATTTTATTAAACGGGGGAGCAGGAAACTAGTAGAAAGAATAGGAAGGGGCAACAGCTGTTGCAAGAGACAAATTGCAGAAATTTTGCAAGCGATTTGATTTCTCCAGGCACTGTAAATGCTAACTTAAGTTTGGCTGCTGTGTTTCTGTCTCCAGCACACACACCCGCCAGTTTTACCTGTCCATCCAATCACCCGTTGGGGAGCTTATGGCTCCAGTGTTCATGAGCGAAAACGAATTCAAGAAGGAGCAAGGTGAGTGAGTTTTGGGGCGTAGGAGAAATGGGGAAAGGCCCAGGTATTTCATGCTGTTCACATAAACAGGTTCACAAACCTCTCTGCTCAAGGAGGTCCATGTTGACTTCCTCGTGGCTTTCTCCAGCCTCCTATGAACTCTTCCCATCCAGGACCAAGGGCCAACCAGACCCCAGCCTCTTGAAATGGGGAGGGTGACCATTTGACTTCCTTGGGAGACAATCTTATGGACAATATACTTCTGAAGAACCATGGGGTAGATGGGGGAAAGGTCTCTGCAGCATGTGGTCAAAAACATCAAGATGGTGGCCACCAGTAGCGGGACTCTAATTTTTTCACTACCAGTTCTGTGGGCGTGGCTTGGTGGGTGTGGTGTGGCTTGGTGGGCGTGGTGTGGCTTGGTGGGTGGGGCTGGGGAAGGATCCTGCAAAATCCCCCTTCCCTTCCCACCCCGCTAGCCTGCTTTTCAGCTCCGTTCTCCTGTGCAGGGCAACCAAAGGAGACCCAGCCAATCAGCTGGGACTCAGTGGGAGGCGGAGAATAGATGGGGGCGGGGCCAGTCAGAGGCGGGATTTGCTAGTTCTCCGAACTACTTAAAATTTCCGCTACCGGTTCTCCAGAACTGGTCAGAACCAGCTGAATACCCACCTCTGCTGGCCACCTTCAAAGCTCTGCCTACTTTTTATGCTCCTTGCAGATGTGTTTAAACACCCGGGATAGATGGATTTCCTTCCTTGGTTGAGGGCCTCCCCACCCTGTGCTCCACCTACCTGTGCCACCTTCTCTTTCTCCTAAACTTCTCGTGAATTTACTCTGGGTGTCGCCCTTCCTTGGTCAACAGAGACGTGGGAAAGACGCCTCTTTCCGCAGGAGGAGAATGTCTTTCCGGACCCCTCATGTTCTCCTCCGGCCCTGCTTGGCTGTAGGGGCAGCAGCAGCCCTGGACTCTGCTGGTGCTAATGGTTGTGCTCTGTTCTTTTCCGCTGCCTCGTGCATTCTCCCCCCCCCCCCCCCGTTTTTTTTTCCATAGAGCATCTGTTAAGGACGGCCGTGGGTAAGTGCCAGCCACAGATGCTACACCTCCCTGCTCCTTTGGCCCCAATGCTACTAGCCATGCTTCCCCAAATGGTCTGTCTGTCTTTCTCTTTCTTTCTTCCTTCCTTCCTTCTTTCCTTTCTTTTTCTTTTCGTTCCTTTTCTCTCTCTCTCTCCCTTCCTTCCTTCTTTTCCTTTCTCTCTTTTTCTTTTTCTTTCTTTCTTTCCTCTCTCTTTTCCTTCTTTTTCTTTTTCTTCCTTTTTCTTTTTTCTTTCCTTTTCTCTCTCCCTTCCTTCTTTTCCTTTCTCT